ATTAATTTTATTAATATATTTAAATTAAATATGAAAATTCTTACTACTATTTTACTTACGTTACAAAAGCGCAAAGCCTTGAACAGTTACCAACATTATTTCCCAACAAATAATTCCTTGTTAATTATTTTAATGAATATACTCTCGAAATGCATTAGTTTCCAGACTCAGATATTCAATTTGCTGTAGTTTATTTTGTGGCTAAATGTGAAGATGAGCTATCGTAGGAAATCAATCGACGCTTGCAAGCTGCAAGACAGCTTATCTTAAAGCGCATTTCAATGGCTTCCAATGAATCTATAAGATAATTTTGTGGTCAGATGATGCTATTCAAGTAGTTGCAAGTTGACCACAAATGCAACGGCACATGGCTAAGCATCTTACAAGCAAGCAAGTAGTTTGGTCAAGTCTCATTCACACACACGCACACATACACACACACCTGCCACTGACAGCTGCCTCAATGGCTTGGCAGTTCACTAGCCCTTGCTGCTGGGCTGGTGTTGCAAGTATCTAAACTAGAATGTTTGTTTAGTATCTTTTACACTGTGCTGCACAGTTGTCTGAGAATAGCTGCTGCTGGCTCTCTTTCTCTTTGTCCCGCTCTCCCTCTCCCTCTTTATATATACATATATATATGGCTTGGGTGCTCTTTCATTCTTTCATTTGGTGCAGCTTGGATAACTGGTCTCGGACTGTTGTCTAGTCGTACGTTTGTGCATGCTTTGCATGCCACTCGGCGAGCACAAACAGTGCCACAAACATAGTGAGCGAGAGTGAGAGAGATAGAGAGAGTGACGCCCCCGCCGCCCAGACAGGACTTGCTGTTTGTTGTATGACATATAAAAGTCAACTTGAATGCGCTGTGTAAATTTAGCCACCCAGCATTCACTGCTGCCTCTAAGCATCTGTGTGTGTGTGTTCTTTCTACACTGTTGCAACTTTAAGTAGTTGGGTGTGTGTTGGTGCCAAGGAAATGCTTGCATTTGAAAAGAATTTGCCTTTACAAGATTTTACTCTTTGCAATTTACACGCGCCGCGCACTTTTACCACTACACACGCACACAAACACCCATATACTTATATATATTTAGAGCAATACACAAGTGCATATGTATGTATGCGTATATAGTATATCATTCTGTGTACATGCATTTGCTGATATGCACAAGTATTGTATGCATTTGGCTTTTGTAAATGTTGCTTTCTTATTACATGGCATTATATCGTGTCGTAGATATGTATATGTATATATAGGTATGTACATAAAGTAGTTGCTTGCTGACGTTTGCTGTTCCTTGCAGGACGTTGTTTGCCTCACAGCAGCCAGCCAGCCTGCCAGGAAGTTATCTTCAGGAAACTACTGAAAGAGTAACAAACTGATTATTTCTTTTGCTTGCTTCCCATGGCGAGGCTTTTTCGCTTAATTAGCCAAAGTGAAAAAGAGATCGTATAACGGCTATAAGAGATAATTAAATATTAAGCAAGGAATGTGGTGTAAAATGATATTTCCATCTGGCGTAATGAGATTGTAATGATTTGAATTGGATGGGATTCTATGTATGAGAAAACTTACAGGGTAGAGATAACTGTATTAAAAATTGATTATACTGTCAGTATATCATTAAAACCCAATATAACAAATACTTATATAAGATTCTGAAATATAAGTCTTCACTAATTTACCATAAATATATTTTGTCAGATATTTTTACAAGGCAATTTTAAGCTTCCCATATCACATATATCCCATACACATATGTAATCTATGTTTCCACCGCTTTATATATTTTCAATATTATTCGAAGTTGATTTCACACGCTACATAAATAAATCATGCTAAGCATTATCGAGCTGCTTTCTATCCCTCTCTTCTTGGCCTCTCGAGTTCATAATATTCCATCAATTGAAGGCCTTCACTCAAATGCCTTTCATTGCCTGATTTGCCAGATATATTGCTGCTGCTCGAAACCAAAGACAGCATCATTCAAAAATCTCTCAAAATGTTGACCATTAAACTCTGGCTCTCTGTGTGCCTGTAGGGACTCACACACATGTACACACATACGCACACTAACACAGCCGCCCTCTCTATGACCAGGGCCTGCCAACTGCGGCTGCTGGTGCTGCTACTGTTGGCATTCAGTGTCAGGTTTCTATGGCTCAAGTGTTTGCATTTTACAACCACACACTTGCAGGCACTCTCACACACACACAGACAGCAGCTGGT